TAAAAAACGGTCACCTCGCTTCTTATTGTTCTATCATCCCCAGACATCCGACGTCTCGACTTTTTCGAGACGCGGGCTCCCGACCTCCCGACCACTTCCCCAAGATCGTTTTTTCGTCCTCAGTTGTTTCTTGACGGTCCCGAGGCCCGGCGAGCGCCTCCAGAGGGCGAAAACGACGAACAACCGTCGTCTCGATTTCTTCGAGACGCCCGATGTCTGGGTACGTCGTGCTGTTAGGCTGAGTTTCGTGGCCGACGTCCGTTGCCCCCGGACCCGCCGCACGCAGGAGGGGGCCCCGGGCAGGAGCGACCCCTGCTGCGGGGCCTGCTGGGTGTCCGCGGGAGGGGCCACACGCCGAGCGCGCAGGCTGCGGGTGGGCCCCCCTCGGCCCGCACCAGGCCCAGACCTGCACGGTTCCCCCCAGGGCCGTGGGCGACCCGAAGAGGAGGAGGAGGAGGAGGAGGAGGAGGAGGAGGAGGAGGAGGAGGAGGAGGAGGAGGAGGAGAAGGGGGAGGGGGAGGAGGAGATGGAGGAGGAGGAGGAGGAGATGGAGGAGGAGGAGGAGGAAATGGAGGAGGAGGAGGAGGAGCAGGAGGAGGAGGAGGAGGAGGTGGGAGGAGGAGGACGGGTCGCCTTAGCCCTTCGGAGAAACCCTCCACCCAGACCCCCGCCGTCGTGATGTTTTCACAGCGTCGACCCCCAGAGGTCTGGACCCCGTCCCCCCTGGACCGGCTGTTCATCCTCTGGGTCGTCTTCTGACGGCCCCGAGGCCTGGAAAGGGCCCCCGGAGGCCCTCGCAAGAAACCCAACCCTGAAAATCCGTGCGCGAGGTGCACTGGAGGGGAACCCCGAGCACCCTGAACGCGGCAACTTCTTCGGCGGCTGCGGGAAGCCATTGCGCAGCGCGCGGAGCGAAGAAACCCAGGATACCCAGGCGAAAAGCACATGGTTCCTTGATGCGCGCCCCCGCTGTAGTGAATTACGCTACCGAGGAACCCCACATACTTATATGGCTGGAGTGATGATAGCTGAAGTGAAGCATGTGAGAATGATGTTGGTGGCCGTTGACCCACCGATACCGTTGGTGACGCCACTCCAGAGGAGAGGTGGAAGAGGAGAAGCGCCGCGCCAGCCACACTTTGCGAGCCCAGTGACCTGGACGACCGGCACGCATAGCGGCCGCGGTGAGGGACCACCCCCTGCGCACCCCGTCTGGCGTCGAGAAAGCGCCACGCTTGCTATGCCCTGCGCGACCGTCGTGCATAGTGGCCGCGGTTAGGGACCAACCCCTGCGCACCTTCTATGGTGTCGAGAAAGTGCCACGGCTGCTATGCCCTGGACGACCGTCGTGCATAGTGGCCGCGGTTAGGGACCAACCCCTGCGCACCCTCTATGGTGTCGAGAAAATGCCACGCCTGCTATGCCCTGGACGACCGTCGTGCATAGCGGCCGCGCTCAGGGACCACCTCCTGCGCAGCCCCTGTGGTGTCGAGGAACTGCCACTCCTGCCACGCTGTACGAATCCGAGACGGATAGGGAGACACCCCCCCAACGCACCCCCTGAGATGTCGAGGAAGTGCCAAGCCTGCCACGCTTTGCGAGCCCGAAACGGATAGGAAGGCCACCCCCAGCGCACCCCCTGTGGTGTCGAGGAAGTGCAACGCCTGCCACGCTTTGCAAGACCGAAACGGATAGGGAGACCACCCCCAGCGCAGCCCCTGTGGTGTCGAGGAAGTGGCACACCTGCCACGCTTTGCGAGACCGGAACGGATAGGGAGACCACTCCAAGCGCACCCCCTGTGGTGTCGAGGTAGTGCCACGCCTGCCGCGCTTTGCGAGCCCGAAACGGATAGGGAGACCCCCCCCCGCGCAGCCCCTGTGGTGTCGAGGAACTGCCACGCCTGCCGCACTTTGCGAGCCCGAAACGGATGGGGCAACCACCCACAGCGCACCCCCTATGGTGTCGAGGAAGTGCCACGCCTGCCACGCTTTGCGAACCTGACACGGATAGGGAGACCACCCCCAGCGCACGCCCTGAGATGTCGAGGAAGTGGCACACCTACCACGCTTGCGAGCCCGAAACGGATAGGGAGACCACCCCCAGCGCAGCCCCTGTGGTGTCGAGGAAGTGCCACGCCTGCCACACTTTGCAAGACCGAAGCGGATAGGGAGACCACCCCCAGCGCAGCCCCTGTGGTGTCGAGGAAGTGGCACACCTGCCACGCTTTGCAAGACCGAAACGGATAGGGAGACCACCCCCCAGCGCAGCCCCTGGGGTGTCGAGGAAGTGGCACACCTGCCACGCTTTGCAAGACCGAAGCGGATAGGGAGACCACCCCCAGCGCAGCCCCTGGGGTGTCGAGGAAGTGGCACACCTGCCACGCTTTGCGAGCCCGAAACGGATAGGGAGACCACCCCCGGCGCACCCCCTGTCGTGTCGAGGGAGTGCAACGCCTGCCGCGCTTTCCGAGCCCGAAACGGATAGGGAGACCACCCCCAGCGCACGCCCTGAGATGTCGAGGAAGTGCCACGCCTGCCACGCTTTGCGAGCCCGACGCGGATAGGGAGACCACCCCCAGCGCACGCCCTGTGGTGTCGAGGAAGTGCAACGCCTGCCACGCACTGCGAGCCCGAAATGGATAGGGAGACCACCACCGGCGCACCCCCTGTGGTGTCGAGAAAGTGCCACGTCTGCCACGCCCTGCGAGACTGGCACGCATAGAGGCCGCGCTGAGGGACCACCCCTTGCGCACCTCCTTCTGGTAACGAGAAAGTGCCACGCCTGCCGTGCCCTGCGCCATGGCCCGCATAGAGCCTCCTGCCATGCAGTGCGATGGAGGAGGGGAGGAGGGAGGAGGGGAGGTGTGAGGAGACGTGGGTGCGACGCGGCAGGGAAGAAAACCATAACCCCACGAAACATGTGGGGAAGAAAAGGAGGGGAAGAGTGAGGTGTGAGTGTCGCGGGTGCGGCGCGGCAGAGAAGAAAACCATAACCCCACAAAACATGTGGGGAAAAACCTCCCGTCGTGATTTTTTAGCAACGCGAGGGGGTCTGGGAAGGAGGGCGCAGAGCGGACGGACAGACGCAAGACAGGGCCGGCCGCCGGTGTCTCGCCGAGGCCGCGGCTCCAGCGGACGAGGAGGAGGAGGAGGATGAGGAAGAGGAGCAGAAGGAGGAGGAGAATGAGGAGGAGGACGACGAGGAGAAGGACGAGGAGGTGGGAGGAGGAGGAGGAAGAGGAGGAGGAGGAGGAGGAGGGAGGAGGAGGAGGACGAGGACGAGGACGAGGAGGAGGAGGGCTGAGTGGGCCGCTGATCAAGGAAGCTAACGAGGCTGGCATCAGCCACGGATCCCTCCTGCCCTCCTCCCGGCCCCACAGATGGCCGAGCAGGGGCCCATGCCACTCGTGAGTCTGAGCGAGCAGGCGCCGCTCTGACGAGTCGTGCCGAGCCGTCGTGGCTGCAGGTGGCACCTTCCCACACGCACGCGTCGCCCGATCGCACTGGCTGACGCTTCCCTGATGTTTTCTTAGAGGGAGAAGATGGGAGCGGACCGCATGATTCAAGAACCACCGTCGTAACGCGAATGCCGGTTGCACTTGAAAGCCGTTCTTTTCTTCACCAAGCGTGTGGGAACGGACGCACACATTGCAGTAAAGTGTCCGGCCTGCCGGGCTTCCCACTTGAGAGGAGGAGGAGGAGGAGGAGGAGGAGGAGGAGGAGGAGGAGGAGGAGGAGGAGGGGACAAGACGCTTCCCTGACGCATCTCTGGCTCCAAACGCTCACCTGCGGCAGCGCAAGCGAGACCGACAGAGGGCCCCTTTTGCGTGCAGCCTGCGGAGGGCGCTGTCGTCGGGGAGGCCGGCGAGGGCGCGCGGGCCTCCGGCAGGCCTGCGCCGCGCCCCGCTGCGCCGCGGAGCGGCTCAGCCGGCTGCCGACGTCGTCCAGCTGCCGCCTCTCCTCGGCGAGGGGTCGCGGCGAGGGGTCAAAGGGAGAGGGGAGGCGAGCAGGGGAAGGGGAGAGGATCCAGGAGGAGGAGGAGGACGACGACGAGGACAAGACCGAGTAGGCGGAGGACGAGGGGGCGGAGGAGGAGGAAGAGGGGACGGGGGGGCGGTTCGGGCGTGGGCGGACGCAGTCGGGACTACCATGGTGGGACCTGCTCCGGAAGAGGAGCGTACCGCAGACGGAACTGCCCATGTCTCCGACCCTGTGATGCGCCGAACGCAACGACCGCGTTGTCTATAGAGGCGTCCACCCCGAAGGTGCCTCTACAATTATGTATGTATTCATGTATTGATTGATTTATTTATTTGCATCTATATATGCATATACATATATATATATATACACACGTATGTAGCGAATGTGTGTGTGTACGCGGTACGCGCTTGTGCCTAGAAAGTGAAAGCGCTATCTGGCACAGGCCCCAGAGTTTGGGTTTCTCGAAGCTGGTATAGACTTTGCCCTTGAGCATCGTTTAACCGATCCCCATCCCCACCAGCGTGCGCTGGGCCCCACTGGCCGATTTACCCCCCTGGATGGGGACATGGGCTGTTCCCCCCTGGCTTCGAGGGGCACACCCCCCATTGAGGTGGTGATGCGGTGGGGCTCGAGACGTAGATGGGGATGGGGATGGGGATCGGCGAGACGATACTGAGGAAGGGGGGGACAAATAAAACGGAGGAGGAGGAGGATGGGGAAAACGGCAGGCCCACGACGAGGGGAAGGAAGGCAGGGAGCAGGGAGGAGGGAGGGGGGGGGAGGGAGGCGGGAGGACAACTGCCACTTCGATTGCATCGAACTCAAGCCGACCGTGTTGGCCATCGTGGACTCTGAGGGCGGTGTGTTCGACAGCGGGCCGACCACTCCATGGCCCATGGCGGGGTGGGGTCCAGGGTCCAGGGGCCAGGGGGGCCCGACGGTGGAATGGTGCGGGCCGTGGCGGCCCAACGTGTTGGGGGTGGGGGCCGGGTTGAGGGGGCCCTGGGCCCTGGGAGGTCGTTCGAGGCGGAGCTGCTCCGCGAGTATTTCGATTGGCCGAAAGACGCATGTACTGTGACGGTCTGCGCCGCGCCCTCTGTGAACCTGGGCGCAGCTGGGATATCGCATGGTCGTCGCTTGGACGCCAATGGCATGGCATCAGAGGCCAGTGGAGGAGGAGGGGGGATGTAACGGGGAACGGGGGAGGGGGAAAGGGAAGGTGAGGGATACGAGGTAGAGAGGGAGGCAGATGATGGAGGAGGAGGGAGGAGGATGGGGGATGGGTGAGGAGGAAGGGAGAGGATGGGGGAGGAGGGTGACCCAGGTTAAATTCTCATTCGACCTTCCCATGATGCCCGCGGCGTGGGGCGACGACGCCCAGGCGCCGGGGGCCAGGGCGAGGGGCGAGGGGCATGGGGTTGATGGTTGATGTGAGGAGGGAGAGAGAGAGAGAGAGAGAGAGAGACAAAGAGAGAGAGAGAGAGAGAAAGAGAGAAAAATAAGAGGGAGAGAGAGAGAGAGAGAGGGAGAGAGAGCGAGAACGACAGAGAGAGAGAGAGAGAGAAGAGAGAGAGAGAGAGAGAGAGAGAACAAACAACAGAGAGAGAGAGAGAGAAAGAAAGAGAGAGAGAGAGAGAGAGAGAGAGGGAGGGAGGGAGGGGGGGGGCGAGCGAGCGAGCTAGCGAAGGTGCGTGTCAGCGACTGGCACCATGCTACTGCATGTTGAATGTTGGATGGCAGGGGGCAGGGGGATGGGCCGGCGGCCGAGATAGGCCGACCCTCCCGCGCGAATAGGCGACCGCGGGGACGCCCAAGCCCCAAGCCCCAAGCCGTTACGCCGCCTGCGCCTCCCGAGGGCCCGAGGGTACAGCGCTGGCGACGCTGTGCACCTGGTGGCCGCATGAGCGGCACCAGGCAGCGCGCGGCAGCTACATTAGCGCCGAGCGCCGAGGCGCGCGGGGCTGGCCGTGCCAGCAGCAGAGGACAGGCAGGGAGGCGCCTGAAGGCTGGCCGAGCCAGCAAGTTAGGGCTGGCGGACGCAGGCGCGGGGCGCGGGGTGAGGGCCATGAGGAGAGAATCGAATACATTGGGCGAAGAGGAGGATGCGCGGCGGAACCCATATGAGGGGGGAGGCGGACAAGGGGGCAAGGGGGGATGAAAGCGGGAGGTGGGAGGTGGGATGGTGGGATGGGGCGGGGGGCGGGGGGCGGGGAGTGAGGGGTGAGGGGTGAGGGGAGAGGAGCAGGAAGCAGGAGGACAAGGGGGGGAGGAGGGAGGAGGAGGAGGGGTGATGGGGGCGGCATGCGGCATCTCATGGCGCGGCGATCCGCGGCAGCGGGCCCCGGGGCCCTGCGGGTCGCGGGTGGCCGCGCGCGCGGTGCGCGGCAGGGAGAGGAGGAGGGAGAGGAGGGGGGAGAAGGAGGAGGTATGGGGGAGAGGCAGGAGGACGAGGTATGGGTAGGAGGTAGGAGGTTGGAGGTAGGAGGAGGGGGAGGAGGATGTTGCAGGAGGAGGTTGGCCGACGTAGGTAGGAGGACGTATGAGTAGGCCGACGTAGGTGGCCGACGTAGGCAGGAGGAGGTTGGCCGACGTAGGTAGGAAAGGAGGGAGGTAGGAGGAGGCAGGGCAAGGAAGGGGGCGTCGGAGAAAGTAGGAGTAGGTTGGAGGACGGGAAAGGTAGGGAGGTAGGTAGGAGGGAGAAGGAGGAAGGAAGAGGAGGAGAATGAGGGATGGTATGATGAGACGAGGCAGGGGGAGGTGGGGGGGAGGGGTAGGACGGGATGAGGATAGGGAAGGGGCAAGGGGGGGAGGAGGAATCCGGGGGGCAGGAGGAGGAGGAGGAGGAGGAGGGCAAGGGGCGAGGGGGGGCTTTCGGGGTGAGCGGCATCCTCGGCATTGACGAGTTGCTGCAGGAGTGGGACGTGCCGACAAGGAGGGGCTGGGGGCTGGAGGGCAGAGGGCAAGAGGGCTGGTGGAGGTGTTGGCCGGAGGGCGTGCAGATGATGGGGCAGGGGGTATGGGGGTTGGGCAGTGGGCAGGTGGCAAGACATCCACGCGCTGCTGTACCCCGAGCCGGTGATCGAACTCATCAAGACGGGGAGGCGGGGAGGATGCGCGGAGGCACTCACGCCTCGCCGTCCGGCCCCAGTCCCAGGCTCTTCGGCACTCCCTACCCCCCCATCCTCCTCCTCATCCCTCGTCGTCCTCTGCCTTCTCCCCTCCACCTCCACCCTCCTCCTGTGCCCCTGTGCCCCGTCGCGCATTTCGTGCCCCCTGCCCTGCGCCCGCGGCGCCTCATGGACCCCGGGGCCAATGGGGGCGGAGGAGAGGGAGGAGGAGGAGGGAGGAGGAGGGAGGAGGGTGACAGGTGACATGCGACAGGCCCCCAAACCCGGGAACGCAGAACCAGCTCGCGCCTCGCGCCTCGCACCTGACCGAGGGGGAGGAGGGGGTGGAAGGAGGGGGAGGACGACGAAGAGGATAGTGATGGCGGCGGTGGAGATGATGGCGGCATGGCGGCGGCCGTTGCCGCGCGCGAGACATCACCGCAACTCGCCCTCTCAGCGGAGAAGCCCAGGGCCCAGGCACTCGCACAGGCGCGCGAGGTTTCGGACGAGGAGGAGGAGGTGGTGGAGGAGGAGGAAGAGGAGGGGGAGCGGGGGGCCAGCAGCCAGTAGCCAGTAGGGAGCGCGCAGTGGGATGCGAGATGCGAGATGCGGCAGTTGAGGCGCGGGAAGGGGGAGGGAGGTGGCGCGACATATTACTACTTACGAGATGGCAAGATAATAGTAAACGTGATTACAAGCAGCACTACCGGCGCATAGAGAGGACCCGACGCGGAGGAGTCAGAGTAGAGGATCAAATCCCTGGCCATGACAAATTTGTCGTCGTTGGGTGGCCGCCAGAAGAGGCCCCGGCGTGGTCGCCCCCTCCTCCGCGGAACATGCCGCCCGTGCCCGTCGAGCCCGATGCGTTCGGGATGGAGAAGATGCTGAGTTCTCTCCGCGCGCTGGGGGCTAAACTCATCGCCAGCGACCCCGGGCAGAGGGATGAGGTTGAGTTGCAGCTTCGCACCCTGGAGTCTTTGAGAGCACACATTATCCAGAGTGAGAGCCGTGCATCAACGTCCAATAAGAATAGAAGAAGATACAGCGCCTCCAGATATGCTGCGTTCTCCGGGCGAACTTCATGGTTCGAGGGAGACTGGAAGATGCCATGCAGGAGCTCGCCCCGCTGTTTGGAGCTTCACGCCGTGATTTCGATCGCAAGTTTATCGTCCCGAAGTGGCATTCCATTAAGAAATATGCCCTGGCGTTTGATGCCGCGTTGTGTTTATCTCGGCGCTCTTCGGTCGTTCAGAAGGGCCGGTGCGTTCGATGGGCCATGCGCGACAGTTCTCCCCAGTGCGGCTTCGATTGGTTATGGACCAGCTACACTGAGGTGTGCGAGGATCGCCTGGTCGATGTCCTGGAGGCCGCCTGGTATGTCGAAAATCATATCACGCATTCAGATATTGCAGAGAAGCTGGCCTCCGAGGATCCTGGAATACAGAGGCAAGCTGCTCAGGAGATCATGGGGTTTACAACCGTCTGCGTAATATATGCGACAGTATGCAAGCCTCGCGAAGCACATCCAGAAGCACGCGTGCATCCCTGTAGGTTTGGCGGGGGGCTACTCTGGCGTGGCCAACAAAGCTTCGGCCATGCCCCATTCGTTTGCAATGGAGTTGCCGGCAGATGTTTCGTTGGAGTCGTTCCTGATCAGCTTTGCATCCAGTACTGCAGATATGGGCGCCGAAATGTCGATTCCTGATTTCGAAGTGGATAGCCCATCGATGCTTCTTCCGGAATGGAGCTCCCGCGTGCAGGGCAGCGCCGCTACCATTGATATTGATATGGGGGACGGGGGGCCGACGATTGTGCGGGCGGCAGCGGCCGAGTCGGCGACGTCGGCGTCAATCTGGAGGGGATGGGCCCCTGGGCGGACGAGGCGAGGAGGCGATGGGGCAGCGCGGGGGGGGGGGGGGATGGGGGATGGGGGAGGGGGCAGGTGGATAGGGGATAGGGGATGGTGGGAGGTTTAAGAACAGCGTCGGGCGGCTGGATCACGGCCTCGCGGCCTCACGCCTCACCTTCGACGCCGTCGGCCGTCGGGAGAAGCACGAAAGGGAAGAGGGGAAGAGGGGGCGAGAGGTGGGAGGTGGGGTGGGGGATGGGGGATGAGGAATGCTCGCGTGCTCGTGTCTTGTGTCTCGTGTCCTCGGCCTCGGGCTTCGGGCCTCGCTTCCTGGCTTTCCCCGCTCCTCGCCTGCTCATCCCCCATCCCCTCACCCCCATCCCCCCATCGTCCCTCGCCCCTCGCCCCCCCCCCGCCCGTTCCAATCCCGTCGCGCCTGGCCCCGCCGCCCGCCGCCCGCTGTCCCGCCCGCGGCGCTGGAGGCCCCATTTATCGAGCATCGCCCCTTGCATTCCTGAGTCGCCAGGGCCCGCTTGGACCCCCCGCTCAGCGCGCGCACTGTCGGCAGAGGGGCGCCCCCGCGGAGGCAGACGCATCAAGTGCTCGGTCGGTTCAGGCGGCGGCCCGAGAGAGAGAGAGAGAGAGAGAGAGAGAGAGAGAGAGAGAGAGAGAGAGAGAGAGAGAGAGAGAGAGAGAGAGAGAGAGAGAGAGAGAGAGAGACAGAGAGAGAGAGAGATGGGGGGGCGCCGAGCTGGCTGCACCCCTCCTGGATGTCGATGATGGTGGTCTGCAGTGTCGGCATTGGTATGAACGTCCTGCGGGCGACGCGCCCGCGCTGCTTGCATTGGAGAGCGGGGATCCAGATGGGGAGATCGGGCAACAAGACATCGAAGCCGACCCAGACGGCATGGTTGTGCCCCCGAGTCCTGAACCTTTCCCAGCCCCTCCAGAACCCTCCCCGGCTGCTCGCCCCAGGAAGCCCCATCTGTTTCAAAATTGCGCCACCGCGGCTGGCATGGAGAATATCGTGAATAATCTCGTCCAAGACGTCCATGCCTACATGCCTGGTTGGCAAGAGTTTTTTTTCAGGAAATTGAAATTGTTCGAACGCCTGTTGCACGTGCAGGATTACAGGCGCAGGTTATATCACACGTGCTTCGAGGGGGCAGACATGGGTCAGAAGGGGAAGGCGGCGCTGGAGAATTGGCCGAGAGGAGCAACCTTGTGCGAGGAGCGGTTTAAGAGCGTCCTAGTCTTCCTAAAAGCTTTCGAGCCTATCCGGGCCCTGCTGTTGCTGAAGTGGTCAGCGAGGAAATTTGCGCCGAAGGGCGAGGAAGGTGGCGACGAAGCAGGCGAGGCAACGTTGAAACAGGCCGACGGCTAAGGGGCGGTGGGCGGTCGAGGCGGTGGGCGGGGCAAGTGGGGGGCGGGGGGCGGGGGGCGGGGGGGGGGTGGGTGGGGGGTGGGCAAGGGGCAAGGGGCAAGATGGGGGGGGCATTCACCTCGCCACCTCGTTCCTGGCGCGGGTCGCACGCGGCGTCGAGGGCAGCTGGAGGAAGGAGACGAGGGAGGAGGAGGACGGAGGAGGAAGGAGGAGGGAGGACGAGGGAGGGGGAGGAGAGGGAGGGGAAGGATGAGGCGGATAAGCAGATAGTGACAATGATGTCAATAAGGGAGAGGGGGTGCCAGGTGCGGGGTGTGGGATGCGGGATGCGTTGCGAGCGCTGCCCGATGACTTGCCCGATCATCTGCCCGGCGACTTGCCTGGCGATTGCGATTGCCGCGGCGACAGCCTCGGCGACGGTGGCGCAGCGTCGGGCAAGCGCATGCAACTCATATAGGGCGTAGGGCATAGGGCCCCTGGCCCCTGGGGGCAGAGGGAGAAAAACAACCTCCTGTTGTTGGGGGTGGCTTTCGAGGCGCCCGGCGCCCCCCATCAGCGAGGTCCGCGGCCCGCACTTCCCCCCCCCCCCCCCCCCCCCCTCCCCCCTCCCCCTGCCCTGGCCTCAAGTTGATCCCGAAGGCATCGGCCGCGCTCTCTCGGATCACGCGTTTCACGGATATGTCAAGGTCTCGCTTAGCATGGAGAGGATTACCACAGAGCTGTCGCTGCGGTCGGGCGGTCGCGCATGTCACGAGCATCTTCGAACGAAGCTGAGCAAATACATGCGGGGATCGTTGGCGTCAAAACTCCCGGAGAAGCTGTGGCACACGTGCCCCATGTCCGGGTGCCGGGCCCCTGAGCTCGCCGGTGGAAAGCTGAAGGATGTCTCGAGGGTTATGCGGGGGGACATCGAGTGCGAGCTAGCGGCGGCGCTGTCTAATCCCGAAGCACCTGGCCAACAAGGCCCCGAGTCTCACGCCAAAATAATGGAGGCGTTCAGGACGGCGCAAGTTACCATGAATGGCATCCTGCACGAGAAATTGTCATTCTGGACGCAGCTGCCGCGGGCGCTTGCCGGGGTGGCGCACAGGAGCGAAGATGTTGCCGTCAGCGTTGCCCGCGATGCCCTCCGCACATTCGACGGTCTTAGTGGCGAAGAGACAGCGTGCATCATCGGATCACTTTGAAACTGCTCGGTCCTGGATCTAGCTTCGGGGAAGAGCTCAGGGCGGTGGCAGCCGGTGCCGAGATGCGGTCGGAGTGCTCTGAGTCTTTCTTGATGGAGTTAATTAAATTTAAGCGCATGCCCATCAATGAGGTTGATATCGAAGGAAAGCACGCGGTCGTGACGAGGACATCGGCTCACCTTCCCTTCGGCCCCATCCGAGTCTCCCTGTGCAACCGCATGAAGGTCTTCATAGATCAGTGTAATCGCTGGGGCGATGATTGCATCGACTCGTTTCTGAAACATCTCGAGACGCGCCGTGGGCCCACTGCCGTCCCCGCGGCACTGGAGTTCGACCCCACCCAGAGTTGGTGGACTTTCTCCTGCGTTTCCGGGCCCAGGCCAGAGGCCGCAAGGGTCTCCGTAGAGGCAACAAGAACCACGATCATGAACGCGTCTTGTTGGGCCCCGTGTACATGAGACTCGCTACCGACGTGATGCACCGCTGCGACAGTCGTGCAATGTATAAATCTATGAAGGCCCACGCGGCTGAAAACAATAAAAGGAAAAGAAAGGAAATGGACAATGCCAAAAAGCTTACCGCCGCGGTTAGGCCAGCGATAACCGACAAGGAGAGAGTTACCACGGGTCTGCTCCAAAGCCACTGGATGAAATATGCTTCTCATGGCACCGTCTTCTCTGTGAAGAGGTCGACTCTAGTCAGCGCAGGATTGGTGCCGCTAGGTGATTATTTGCATGGGCCGGCCGCGAAGCGGGTGAAGGATATGAGGGGGTCCGCTGATGCCCCCCGCCCGCTCGCCCTATTGGATGATGACGGCGATAGCTACGTGCACTTCTCTGTGGTGCAGACCTCGCCTGCTGGTGGCTCGAAAAAGAAGATTCGGGCTCCCGTCGGCAGTGGCTCCAGGTTGGGGCCGCGACACATCTTACTGTGCAAGATGAAGAGTACCCAGATACTGGGCGAGACTTATGTTACAACGATGCCAGACTTCGAAGGCACAGCTATGGACCCCCTGTTGGTGCTCGACGGGATATCTAGTTTGGGCCCCTTCGAAACAATGGTTGGCGACCTCAAGATATGGGATCGTGGCAAGCATGTTTGCTACTGCGTCCCCGGCGAGGCGGCAACGACGCTCACGTCATGGAGGTGTGTACGCTGTTGGTCCAGCATAACGCATTCCCAGGTGGATTGTGCACGGGCTTGCCGCAGCTGCCCGAGGATCATTTGCTCGCGGTCGACTGGCTGCGGCAACGCGGGTTTATCGAGGATGTACCCCAGGCGCGGGGCGCGGGGTCATGGGTTGGGCGTCGCCAGTGCAATCCAGTAACAGAGCTCAATGCAAGCTGGGCAGCGGAGAACCGATATGAGGGCTGAGACTGAGGAAGGGGAGGGTCGGAGCGATGAAGGAGGAGGGAGGAAGGAGGGGCAAGGCACAGAGGCACAGTTGCAGAGGGCAGCGAGGCGGCGACGTGACGGTGGTATAACAGGGGGATGGGGGAAGCGAGGGCATGGGGCATGGGAGATGGGAGATATGATTTGCAAGAGGTCCTCGCGTCCTTAGCGCCGCCACAGAAGCAGCGCTTCAGGGGTATCCTGGCGGGCAGGGCAGGGGGGGCAGAGGGCGCCGTCGGGGCCGGCAATGACGCGCAGCTCACTGCTGGCGGGCTGCGCAAGGTGCTCTCTCACGCATGCTGGAACGTCACAAACCCCATTCTTGTCGCATCCTTGGGCGAGGGGGATCCCGTGGAGAAGCGTACCGACTTTTCCCTTATGATTGAGTTGATGGCAAACGGGCGGGAGTGGGAGGTGCACCTTCCCCCATCGAAACGCCCAAAGAAAGAGAGAACCGTACTTGATGGGTATTCAGCTGGCGATGCGAAGATCATGCGAACCACTCTCGCGAATATCCCGAGGGGGCACTTTGTGTGCTTGTTGCAGGTCGACGCTTTAATGGAGGAAGGGCTCAAAATGGTCCCGCACGGTCAACCTAAGAAAGTATATGACGAGATTCTTGCTACAGAATTCGGGGTGGTAGAGAGTCTGGCGCCTGCGCTTGCGCTTGGGGATGACGTCGGCCAGCCGCGGCTGCTCGACGTCGACGTGGCGGGCCTTGCAGCAAAATCAAAAGCGAAAGGAAAACCTGGGGCCAAGCAGAAAGCGAAAGCCAAAGCCAAAGCCCTGGCCCTTGGCGCTGAAGAGCTCACAGATGAGCAGATGAAGAAAATAGCAGAGGAGCTATTCGGTGAGAGCGGCGGTGAGGAGGGGGAGGGCAGCGGCAGCGAGGGCGGTCACGGCCACGGTGACTTCTCGTCCGACGACAACAGCGGCGGCGCCGCGTCGTCTGGCTCCTTCATGGACGGCTTGCTGTAGATCGGGGTGTGGGCGTGTGGGGCGTGGGGTGTCGGGGGTCGGGGGTCGGGGGTCGGGGGTTGGGTTGTTGGGTGTAGGGTGCAGGGTGTCGGGTTGTCGGGTCGTCGGTTGTCGGTTGTCGGGTGTCGGGGCAGGGGGCAGGGGGGTCACGGGTCACGGGTCGCGGCGCAGGGGGCAGGGGGCAGGGGGCAGGGTGCACGGGACAGGGGGGCATCCGAAGCTTATTTCGCCCGAGTCCTTGAGTCCCTGAGCCCCCCGTTGCCGAACTCACTTCTCGCCTCTCACTTGGCACCTGGCTACTGGCGACCTGGCTTTGCTCAGCGGGCGGCTAACTGGCTAACTCGCCCAGCCCAGACCCCAACCCCCAAGCTTACCAGTTCATATTCACGTGGCCGCGTCGCCCGACGCCCAACGCCCAGCGCCCGACCTCCCGCCCGTCGGCTGACGGCTCAAGCAGCCGCGTCTCCAAGCTAACCCAATATTTCTCACCGCGCGACTAGCCCACCCGTCGTAGCTCGCCGCTCGCCAGCTAGCCCCGTCGAGAGGTGCCCAGTGCCCAGACCCCGGTTCGGGTGAAGCGGAGTGGATTAAACGCGATCGTGATTTGTGCCCCTATCTTGCCATGTGTTCTCCTCCTCCTCCTCCGCCTTTTGCCTTCCTCGGTCCTCGGACTGAGCGAGGGCCCCCCTATCGGCGGTGCTGGCGGCGTTCCTGCCGCGCCGCCGGGGCCAGCGGCGCCTGCGCCGCCGCCCGCGCCGCCCGCGCCAGCACCTGCGCCGGCTGGCGACGCCGGCGGGGCGGGGGGGGGGAGGAGTTGGAGGACAGAAGTAGGGGAGAGGCTGGAGAGACAGAGATGCAGGTGGAGAGGGCAGGTGGCGGTGGCGCCGCAGCTCCAGCTCCAGCCGCTGCAGCTGGCGGCGGCCCTCCTGGCGGCGGCGGCGGGGGGGGCGCCGCAGCAGGGATGGACCTGAAGCGTGGCAGGCCCAGCTGACCGAAAGCTCAGGGCACAGTTCTCGAGGGGGCAGGGCAGGGGGCAGGGCTCAGAGGCTGGAGGCTGGAGGGAGGTTGCGAGAAGTGAGAATTGATAATGTATGCGTGCGCCACGGCGATGGCGATGATGGCGACGACGACGATTACAATGATGCCTGCGATGACGATCGCCATGTGATGATGATAACGTTGATGGCGAGAATACTAGTGGCGAGGCTGGTAATCATCGCGGGGTTGATGATGCTGGATGCTGGCGATGGTGACGACGGCGACCATAGCTATAACGATGGTGATGATGACGACAACGAGCATGGCGATGACGACGGCAATGATCGATGACGGCGACGACGACGGGCTACATATATATATATATATATACATATATATGTGGCGGTGGTGGTGACGAGGGGCGAGGGGCAAGGGGTGAGGGTGATGGGGGATGTGCAGGTGCTTAGAGCTAGGATATGGAAATGACGGGTAAAGGGATCGGGCGCTAGATATTTGGATTTCTCGTTGAGTCGCGGGTCGCGGGGGGGTGGCCCGGGGCCCCAGTGCGCCGTGGGGGGGCCCTGGGCTCTCTTGACCGCCTCCGAGCCGCATGGCCGACCCGCCCCCCGCCCCCCGCCCCGTCGAGGCGCTTCCCAGTTGTCGGGCAGCCAACAGGTGGGGGGTGTTCCGCTTAACGCCCCGACCAGAGCTAGGGGAATATGGAGCCTATCAGATTGCGTGCCCGTTCCATCGTCTGAGCGAGGTCACGAACTGTAAGAAACACGTGCCTTTCTTGGGCCCGAAGAAGAGACGTGCGAAACTAGCGCTGAGACGGGCGTGCTACTGGGCTTCGAAAGCTCAAGAATTCACGCGTCAGCGCAACCACCGAAGATGGTTGCCTTCTGCGGAGGAGGTACCTCCGAAGGATGCGATCAGGGCGCTGCGGATCGACGCCCTGCCCTTCGTCGGCGTTGCCCCGCCGATGCCGAGTTGGACGCAGAGCAGGGCGGCGTCCCCGAGGCCCGCTTGCTAGCCTTTGCTTCCGGCCCTCCGTCTGCCGTCTGTCTTGCTAGATTCGGGGGCCTAATAAGTCCTTGAATATTGAATGTTTCTACTTCCAGCTTCCAGGGTGGAGGGCGGGTGGCGGGTGGAGTTGGGAGCGGGGGACGGGGGGCGGGTGGAGTTGGGGTGGGGGCGCGACGAGTGCGCAGGCCGCGGGTGCGAAAGCGGGGTAGAGGGCCGGGCACCGGGCACTGGACACTCCTGACTCCTGACTCCGGGCACCGGGCACCATCCAAGGGCCGAGGGCCGAGGGGAGGAGGGAGGATGGGGGGATGTTCTAACCTCTAACTTTCTACCTTCTACCCTCCTCCCTCCTCCCTCCCCCCTCCTCCCTCCTGTTCCCTGTTCCCCCTTCCTCTTCTTCGGGAATCACGATTCGACAGAATCAAAGGATCTACGAGCATCCCCTTGCCCCTTGCCCCTTGCTCTGGAGATCAGCGCTCGGCGCTCAGTCCTCGGCGCTCAGCCCATGACGTGCATGATGGTGAAGCCCCAGCGGCTGAACTGATCAGCGACGGCGGCGGCGTCTTCGGCCCGGCGCTCCCCGCTCAGCGCTGAGCGCTCAGCTCCCCGCGCAGTCCAGCGTGTACATGATGGAGAAGCCCCAGTTGTGGAATTGCACAGCGACGTCGGTGGCGTCTGGCTGCCTCTGCTAGTCCGCGCCGCCCGCGTCGTCGTCGTCGGCGTCGGTGTAGCTGTAGCGGCCGTTCCACTCGGCGTCGTCAAAGCCGCCGTACCCGTCGGTGTCAGAGTCGGGCCCGAACGAGGCGTCTGCCTCCGCGCCGACGTCCGCGTTGTCGACCGCGTCGTCCGAGCTGGGCCAATCGTCGTCGCTATCCGTATCGAGCTCATCCACGTATTTGCCCTTGCTCTTGCTCCATCGCATGAACTCCATGATGTACAAGCGGTCGTCATTGAGAATCATCAGGCCCGTCTCCAGCAAGTGGCGCACCTCCGGCTCAAGCTCGTCGAACAGCTTCCTCTTCTCTGTCGCGCTGATGCCGCCACCTGCTTCGTCGTGATCTGGTGATTGGCCGTCATCTGGTGC